CCGGCCAAGCAGCTGGCAGTGAAAGAGGGTGCCTCGGGGGTCAGGGGTCTCAGTCCCGAATTACAGGATTGCACAGCTTTCCTCTCAGCTCTGGCGTTTAATAGAATTTTCTGTGATCCCTAAACTAGTGACTCAGCAGCAATGACAACTGACAATGATGGTTAATACTTACTGAGCTCTTCCTATGTGCCACGCACTGTTTTAAGTGCTGGTCGTGTGCTGACCCAGTTAATCCTCATCACTGTGACTCTTTTAGGGACATGCCATTGTTATTCTCATCACACAAATGAGGAAATGGAGGCACAGTAAGTTTGAGAAACTTGCCCAAAGGCTACACAGCCAGGGGCCACAGGCACAATGCTGCCACTGGAACCCTCATTTCGCTCTTCCCCTCTCTTCCTCCAGCAGTAAATCAAGTTGAACACCTGGTTGTGTATCTCAGGGAACATGCAATGGGTCAGAGTAGGACTCCCATTTACCAGATGGGGAATCAGAGGCATTAACAAGAGAAGAAGACTGGCACACAGCCCATCACGTGCCACACATGAATTTCTTCCCCACCCCCAAGAAATCTAACCTGAGAGTGAGGAGTGCCTTCAGAGTTTGAGTAGCTGCAGTATTGCCAAGTAAATACTGCTGTCTGGATGAATGGATGGATGAATAGATGGATGGAGGCAGGGAGAGAGGAAGGGAGGGAGGGAGGCAGGGAGGCAGAGATGGATCGGCAGACGGACAAGTGGCCAGATGGCCAAATACCGAGCTACCAGGAGGGCTAAAGAACTGGTATTTTAGGAGAGAGAAACTTTATCTCTAAGACTGCAGCTATGATCGGGAATCCCATGTTCTCAAAAGTGGCAGCAAATCTGGGAGCCTGCAGAGCTGGAAAGAGCCAGAGACCAGAAAGAGAAGCGAGATTTGCAGTTCTCCTGAGCCCAAGGCCTTCACCCCACACAGCCTGGAAGTGAGTCACGTTTTAACGTGTTTGCATTTTGTGTCTCCTTCTAGACCCGGCTTTCTCAGCCTCAGCACCATTGTCATTTAGGCCCAGAAGTTCTGTGTTGGGGAGGCTCTCCTATGTATTGCAGGGTGTTCATCAGTATCCCCAGTCTCTACCCACCCAAAGCCATGACGATGAAAAATGTCTGTGGATATTGTCGAATATCTACCAAAGGGGCCAAATGACCTCCAGTTTAGAATAATTTCTCTGGATCGTGAGTTCCTGCAGGACAGGGCTGGGTTTCTTCACCTTACCGGAGATTGCAGAGCTTAACACATCGAGGAAACCTCCATAAATGTCCACGGGATGATAGATTGCTTATCTCAAATTTCAAGAGGGGGGAACTGCAGGAGAAATGAGGCAGGGAGGAGGGAGGGAGGCGAGGGGGGGGAGAGTGAAAGAGAAGGGAAAGGTGGGGGAAGAAAGAAAAGGCGATCATAGGTGCCAGCAAAAGCCCCCCACGCCCAGGTCCTGCGCCCGGTGGCTCAGCGACAGGTATGAAATGAACTCTCAAGCCCTGCAAGGAGCCTCAGGTGACTTCACCTCTGCTTGAATCTGAAAACTCACACAGGTTTTGCATCCATGTTGCTTAGAGCCCACCGGGGTTCTCTCTCCCTCCCACTCTCCCTCCCTCTCTCCCTCCCTCTCTCCCTCCTTCCCTCTCTCTCTCTCTCTCTCTCTCTCTATCTCTGTGTGTGTGTGTGTGTGTGTGTGTGTGAAANCTCTCTCTCTCTCTCTCTCTCTCTCTCTCTCTCTCTCTGTGTGTGTGTGTGTGTGTGTGAAAATATAATTACCCATCACTGATTAATCTTCAGACTGAGTCAAGCATTCATTGCAAATCCTTGAAACAAACAAGTCTATTTATATTTTAATTATTTTGTGGATTTCAGGTTGATTTTCTTTCTCCTGCATATTTATGAAGCTGCTGATCCTGTGGTAACCTATCCTTACCTCTTGTGGAGCAGGAGGGAGCGAGAGGGGGAAAGAAAGGAGCCCAGGGAAGCTGGCCTTTCCCTTCCCTTTCTCATGACACCGCAGCATCCCTGTGGCTCCAGGAAGGCACAAGAACAGAGCCAGCTTCTTAAATTAAGGTGTAATTAATTAGGTGGGAGCCCCTGCCCACGGCTGTCATTCTTATCTAAGGTGACCCCGGCTCTCTTGCTGGAGTCTGATTTTAGTCCTGGCTCCCTCTGCTTCCTTATTACCATTATACTCAGTCCTCCGTGTCTTTACTATACCTACATTTGCCAAGTGACCCACATTTGTTTTAAGTAATGCAGTTTCTCTATAAAAGTTCATCAGTGAATTTGGGCTCACGGAGGAATTGGGCAGTTTTCCTTACTTAACAGTGCACTGCACCTGGACCTGAAAAGCTCGAAACCTGAGGTCACGGGTAAGCTGTTCACCAGATTGGCAAGTGGACCTGCAGTCTCACCTCCAGAGACGGCCCACTAACCCCGGTGAAAGTGGCTGCACACTGAAACAACTGGATCCAGTAGCTTGGGGTGACACCAGACGCTGCTCAGCTAATGTTTTGGCTTCTGGAGTAGGTTATTTGTCAACAAATCTTTACTCCCTCCAAAAGACCTCCACGGAGGAGTGTGCTCCCCCGTTGCTGTTGGGCTCGCAGTTTGACGTGCTGGGGCTCCTGGGAGAAGAGTATGCTCTCCCGTTTCTCACTGTGGCCAATGGGGTGTTGACAGATGGGACGTGAGGAGAGGCGTGGGCTAGTGGTCTCCCGACGATCACTGTGAGAAGAACATGCCTCGGGGAGCCACTGCTCCAGAGACACATCCTCCGTGAATCAGACCTGCAAACTGGAGCCAAGCCTGGCCGCTATTCTAGATGAGCTCTAGCTGACCGGCAAGTGTGTAAGCAAGAAATTAAAGCTTATTGTTTCACGCCAGTGGATTCGGGGATGAGTATTATATGGTTTCAGAGTTTGATTGCTGTGACAGACTTTACCAAAAATGCCTCTAGGACACCTGATCTTCTGTCAGGGCCGGAGCTCAGGAGAACAGTGACGTCTGCACCTGACAGCACAGTGCCTCGCTTACCCAGGCCCATCATTCGTTGCACAGTAACTATGATAACTAGTATGTAATCACTGTTTGCATAAGAACCATGTGCTTTTCAAAGTACTTTGATACGCTTCGCTCATCTAACACACTAGGACTCTAAAGTTATAGTTATTTTATCTCCATTTCATAAGCAAGACGACAGGAGCTCAGGTATGTTCAATGGACTGTCAGTAAATGAAAGATCTTGGGCCGAAGTCTTCTCCTTCTAAACCTCCATGTACCGCCTTGTTTGCTGTGCGTGTAAATTAAGCGAGGCTGTGACAGCCGGTTGGGAGCCGGTGGGTTTTCTGTTCCCCACCTTGCCCCTCTGCACCCGCCTTTAGCCCTGTGGGCATCGGGCAGACACAGTGCATCTCATCCTCTCAGAACCCGCTCTCAGCCCGAGAAGACAAGTTTAGACGCTCACTCTCTTCCCTCCCCCGCTCCGCCCACTGCCACATCACCTGCCCCCCTAAGAGCTACTTGTCTCGGCTTAAGGGTCTCTGAATATCACGCAGGTGGGAAGTTCTGCTCTGGAAAAGTCAGTCCCACTTAGCATGTTTTAAAATCAAATCAAGCAGGATGCCTGCTCTCGAGAGCTGGCAGCAGAGGTTGGCAGCCCTTTCTGTAAGCGCCACATAGTGGACGTTTCGGCCTTGAGGGCCATGCGGCCTCCGTTGCAGCCACTCAGGCCTGCGGGTGCAGTGTGACAGCAGCTACGGACAGTATGCACACGCTCGAACCCCAAACCTTCATTTACAAAAACAGGCGGTGGGCAGGAGTAAGCCCGTGGCTGTGGTCAGCCTGCCCCTGACCTACAGACGAATAGAGGAGAAACCTGAATCCAGGACACATCAGCCCTCCCCTCCCTGTGGTTCCATCTCACAGCCAGGCCGTGCCTTCAGCGTCCTCCCTTGATTCTTTCTTGTTACTTTGTGGTCTTGCTTTCTTCCCTCTGTTCTTTTCTTCCTTAATTTGTCTCTTCTTTATCTATTTCTCCTTTCCCTCCCTCCCTTCCTCCTTCCTTTCCTAAATTCCCTGCTTTCCCATTTCCTTCCTTCCTCCCAGCCTATCAGCAAACATCTACTTTGTGCCTGGCACTGGGCATACAGGGCAGGAGTCTCGGCCTCGGCCCGCAGCTCTGCCAGTTCCTCCCACCTCTGCCAGTTCTGGGCACTTTGTTCCTAGCGGTGCCCTGGGGAGCCAGGCGGGAGGGGACTCGGAGGGGAGGAGGGAGAGGGCCGATTGGCCCCTCCAGTGTCATCTCCCCGGGCTTGAGGCTATAGGTGCAGAGCGTCTGCTCCCGGGGCTCCGCTCCAGCACTCCTTTCATCTGGAGAAAGGCTCTTTAATTTGTAAACATTAATAACCATTATTATTATTAAAAAGGAAAGAGAGCGAGTAGCCCTGTAACTAATTACTTTAAGTGTTCTCAACAAGGCACAGTTCAGCTCCTTTATAAAGCTTCCTGCTGTGAAGACCAGATTGTCATTATGATCACACCCTTCCTTAGACCTATTAATTTTACCCGGAATAACAGGCGAGCAGATGCAAGAAGAAGCTAGTCTGATTAACATAATTCTTTTCAAAGACCATTTCCTCCCTGAGGGCCACGCACTGAGTCTTCTATCTTGTCTCAGATCTAATTACATTCAGGAGAATTCAGACACTGACGGCCGATCTCGGCAGATGTCACTTCTCAGATTTGAAGCACACTTCAGGATATGAAGCCTTATCAGAAAATCAATTGAAATTAACAATTCCCTCTCTCTTTTCTCCCCGACTCTTTCCTCTGCCAACGCTCCCTCTCCCCGTGTCTTTTCCTCCCTCTTCCCCTTGTCTTTGGCCAGATTAAAGTTGTTTGGAAATAGGACTAACCTTTTCCCGGAGGGGAGACGGCATTTCCGGGAATTCAATAAACCTGAAACTCAATCCTCTGCTCACCTTTGAAGTGTTTCTTGGCTTCTTCTAGTCTCAACATAATGAGTGAGTGAGTGTGCGTGTGTGTGGTGATGAGCAGCAGTTCTTGAGGATCCCTATAGGATATAAAAATAAGGTAAAAACAGGAGAAACAGAGGGCCTTTCTGCAGCACATTGAAAAGATACACACCACAAGCTACCTCTCAAACATCTGATCTCTGATTGAAACCAGAACCCATTTGGATCCCAGTGTCTGATCTTTGAAGGGCAAGAGCAGTGGATTTACAATGGAACCTCTTGCTGCTTTTAATGAAGTATTTGACTTTTCACCTGCTGCTTTCAATTGAGCTCTGGGCGCTTTAGATAGATGCCCTTGGGTGAGCAGCAGATGAGCGGCAGCTGGGGTTTATTGAGGTGCCTGTTGCCTAGGTCAGGCTATGGCAAACCTGGAGTTCCAGCAGCACCGGAATCTTCTCTCTTTACCCCACCTCACCCCTAACCTCAGTGCCTTCTGTTCTGGGATCTCAGAATGTCGAAAACGAGGCCTGGAGAACCAACTGCTGAACCCTCGCCACACTTTCTGCTGCCATGCGTAAGCTCCACCGAGGCCTGCGTAGCTCTGCCTCTCCGCGTGGCCTGGGTGTGGGAAAATAAAGCCATAGACAGGAGTGCGTGAGGACATGACTGCAGGCAGAAACCAGGGACGAGCCATCTATTTTATATGCCCTGGAAGGACCGTGGAGGAGGAGGAGCGTGGGAGCGAGCAGCTCTGCATTATGCATTTGCTTTTCACAGTCTGCAGATGCTGTTCGGTGCCTTGCTGACTCAGAGCACAAGCCTGCCCCGCTCCCCGAAGTCCCATTGCAGCAGCTGTTCTTGCCTGGCTGGGCCTGGCTCTGCGTCACTGTGGTGATGTTCCTCGGGGCGGCCAGCTGGGTGTTCTCCCCAGATAGCCCGCAGCCTTGGCACTGGCCTTCTGGAAGCTGCCAAAGCAAGAGCATTGGAGCAAGATGCACATAAGGATCTCTTCACAGGGACACTGAACAATGTCCCCATCTTTACACTGGTGCAGCTAGAGCTGGAGAAGAAAGCCCTCGAGGCGGGAGAAGAGGTGGAGAGCATTGTGGGGACCAGGGCATCTTCTCTGGTTTGCGTTGTACATCTTGTTTACTATCCCATCAAGAGTCTGAGTTTGACTTTTAAATACTGTCCGTGCTACGTGGCCTTTCCATGGCGAGCCCTGAACGCAACACCAGCATGTACAGTACTGACGGGTGAGGAGCCTATGGCTCCTGAGATTGCTCTGTCCCAGCCTTGACACTGGGGTTTCCCAGGACGCCTTAGACTCACACAGCAGTTGAAACAATAAAACAACCGATAGGACACCACCCCCGAGTCCCTTCCAGGTTTCATGGAGTGTCATGTCATCATTACAGCGTGCTCTGTGGGAGAGAGGAGGCTCATTATGGGGGGCGGGCCCTGCCCTGTCAGGGGGTCCTTAGCAGTAGGAGCCTCTCATGCCATCTGTGCTGTCACAAGCCTGTAGGCAAACCAATGCATTAAGGTTGGTGCCACTCAAGCCTGCCTGGGCCTGCTAGGTGTCCCCTCATGGCTCAGCTCAGCTCGCTGCTGCCTTTGGGAGAAGGGAGCCTGTCCAGGGATCGAGTGAAAAGGGTGGAAATGAGTGCCAGAAGTCCAGCCTCCACCTTGCCTTCTCTGAGTTAAACGCAGAAAAGCTTTGCTCTATCTGGAGTATGTGGTCTGAATAAAAAAACGTGACGGTTTGTGATCGCAGCATCCTTATGCCAGTCTAGTCCAAGGTTCAGTGAAAAAATAATTACTGAGTGTCTTCAATGAGTAAATGTTTTCATTTACTCAGCATTTATTAAGCATCTACTATGTGCACATCAGTGTGGTAGTTACTAAGGAGCGGTGAGGAGAAATGAATGAGCCATGGTCTCTGACACTGAAGTAGTTTATGGCATAGTAGACACACACACACACACAACATAGAGGGTGAAAACGGGGAGATCTTAGTATGGAGAGAACAAGTTTCAAGGTTTCAAAAGGAATTCTAGTTTTTGTGATATACAGGAGCTGCTTTTATTTTAAAATGGCATTTTTCCTTGAAAACAAATACATGTAATACTTGCTTAATAGTGAAAATGTGAGGGGAGGGGGAATTCCTTCTAATCTCATCACCCAGAAATAATAGCTGTTAATGAGGACACTTGAGTATGTCATATAAATCTCAAGTAATACAATTTTATAACTAAATTTTAATTACACACACACACATGGCCCCTGGTCCAAACCTTCGTGGTCTCTTCTGTCCTATCACAGCACCTCCTACCTGTACCACTGTCCACAGAGTCATTTGAGGCAGAAACTGAGTCATCTCGGATGACGCCATCTCCTCCTCCCCCAACATCCAATTACCTCCAAGCCTTTTCTATTCTAACCTACGCATCATACTTCAGCCTATTTCTCTCCCTCTTTACAGTCACACCTTAGTTCAAACCACCTTCTCCCCTAGATTACTCAAGTCTTTCATTAGGCTTACTTATTTCATTCCTGCCTCCTTCACTCCATTCTCTGTACTGTAGGGTTATTTTTTAAACGTAAATTAGGTCAAGTCATTCTTCTGAAAATAGCTTCAGTGGTTTCCAACTGCACTTAGAATAAACTTCTATTTCTGAGAATAAGGCAGGCTAGGTTGTTTGGACAATCCTCATGGTGAAACAACTAAAAATTATAAATAATGCTTAAAAGATTCTTAAAAGCACCAAAACACTGGCCTCAAATTACTACATCAAAATCAATGTGAAATTAGGAACCCAGAGAGTCAAGAAGGACATTTTTTACCCTGATGGCATTTTCTGAACTGAATAAGTTGATTATAGCCTCATGGGTCGATGGAGACCCTCAACTCCCCAAGTCTTTTAAAGTGGGGTGTGTAATAGGACATCTCCTGACGTAAAGCTGGAACCAAAAGGGCTCTACCTTCGGGGGTGGCGGCCTCATCCCAGGAACTTCAACCAAGATTTCCTCACCCTCGAGCACACTGGAGGAGAGAAAATAACCTCTCCCCAGAAGCCATAAGCACAAAATGGTCTTATAGTAAATGTGTGGGCTAAATTCACATGAATTGAAAGACACATAAAAAGCTGTAAATTTGGTTTGCTGTGGCCAAGCTCTGGGGGTAAGTATAGGTAAAAACAAGACCAAAAAAAAAAACAAAACTCCATAAATTCTCTACGTAGAAAATTATCCCAGGAATTATATTGAAAACAGTAATAAAGTCCCAGAAATAAGTTGCCAATGGCAATGACTAGCACACCATAGAAAATACCAAGATACAAAGAAAGAACTATCATGTGGGAGGTCAGCATAAGCAACAGATGTCAACAACAGACCTGCAAAAACTTCAGATTGAATTAACAGAAATATTTTATAATAACTTACTGTGCTTATTTATTTAGAGAAAAGACTTAACAATAAACTTAAAATATCTTCATGAAACAGAAAACTATAAGCAACCTAGAATATTTGAAACAGATCTTTTAGAAATGAAAAATACAATAATAGGGGCCAATTGCTGGGTGTAAGAGCACACACACTAATATAAAAAGCATTAGTGAACTAAAAGATCACTCAGGCAGATATCGCCCAGGAGGAAGCACACAAAGGAACAAGAAATAAACACGTGAAAGAGAATAAGAGGTAGGACAAGGTCTGATGTTTAATTCAAGTTCTAGATGGAGAGGGCAGATGAAATGAGGCCACGACAATGCTCGGAGAGACGATGGCTGAGAATTTTCCGCAACTGTTCAAAGACAGAGTCAAGAGTTTCTACAAATCCAAACACCATCCACTCTCAGATAAGNGAATTTTCCGCAACTGTTCAAAGACAGAGTCAAGAGTTTCTACAAATCCAAACACCATCCACTCTTAGATACGTCGTAGTGAATTTTAGGACACCAAAGATGGTGAGATCTTAAAGGCAGTCGGGGGGGAAAAAAGTGANGTCGTAGTGAATTTTAGGACACCAAAGATGGTGAGATCTTAAAGGCAGTCTGGGGGAAAAAAGTGAAAGTTGAAAGAAGGGGCATTATAATGACAACTGAATTCTAAATGCTACATTTATGGTAAAACCTCCATTCCGTCCCGGCCCTAAGACTGCGCTTTGTGGCGCTTCCTTCCCTGCCTTCCCTCACGCTGCTCTCCCCTCCCCTGGTGCCTCCCCAGACCTCTCTCATTTCCTGACGGACCCTCCCCTCCGTCTGTCTGAACTGTCTGTCTGTCTCTCTCTACACAGCTGGCTCCTTTTCGTCTTTCAGATCTCAGCCTAAATGTCTCTTCTTCAAGGGAGCTTTGCCTGAACACCCCATCTAGAGTGATTCTTCTTAATCTTTTTCCTATAATTTTATTGTTTCCTTTCTTCGCTTCGCATGTCTCCCCTAGACTGTGCTCCATTAATGCCAGAACCACAACAATGTTGTCACCCCTCTATCCCTAGCACCCCGAGCAACTTCTCAGTTACAGTAAGAATTCTGTAAATAATTGTGAAAAAACATTTAAGTATAGATACTTCTGGTCTTTACCTAGGTACACTTGCTTATATGATTACTATGTAATTTTGCTTTTATATTTTTAAAAATATGTCACCATTCTATTTTCCAGTCGACATTTTTCATTTTTCAATGTAACCTTACTATTTTCCATGCTGATGAAGCTTCTGAGATCATAAAGGATTGCTCTCAGGTTTTCTCATGGTACTTCTATGGAACCCTCTTTCACATTTTATGTGTGACCCACCTGGAATTTGTTTTGGCATAAGAAGTGAGGTAGGGCTCTAACTTAATATTTTATCAGATGGCTCCCCAGTTGTCTCAACCGGATTCGTAGATAACCTATATTTACTCCATTAATTTGAAATGTCATCTTCATAATACTCTAAATTTTTATGTGTATTTGAGTCTATTTCTGGGTTTTCCTGCCTGTTCCTTTAATAAGTCTGTTCAGTGCGAAGGGAGGGCTATTTGTCACTTCACATGATTATATTGCTCTCCTGAGAGGTCCCCCCGGCTATGCCCCCATCAGCAGTGGCTGAGGCTCCCGCCCCTCTGCACCCTCCACAGCACTCCTATCATCATAGTCTGAGTCCTTTTCATTGTGGAAGATAAAGAATGTAATTTAATTGGGTTTTATTTGCATTTTTATTACTGCCAAGGCTGAGTGGGGTTTTTTCCATTTATTGAACACTTATGTTTCTTCCTTTGTAAATTAGCTGTTGTATCTTTTGACCATATTTCTAAGGGAACATTCAACTAACTGTTTCTTAATGCTAGGGCATCCTTTAAAAATCTTTATCAGAGGTGCAGCTGATGTTAAGAACTGAGGTTAGAAGAGCAGGCTGGATGGAGGAGGCCATTCTAAAATATATCTTCAACAGTATGTGCAAATGCAGAGGGTTTTGCTAGATGGGAAGGGGGAAGATAGATACTAACCATACCTGCTATGGATTGGATGTTTGCATCCCCCTAAAATTTGTATATTGAAGCCTTACCCCCAAAGCAATGAGAGCTGAAGACGGGCCTTTCAGAGATGATTTAGTCGTGACTGTAGAGCCCTCATGAATGGGATCAGTACCCTTGAAAGAAGAGACACGAGAGAGCTTGCTTCCTCTCTCGCTGATCTCTGCTGCGTGAGCACACGGCAAGAATACAGTCACCTGCAAACCCAGAAGAGGGTCTCACAGAGCCTCACCATGCTCACTCACACCCCGATCTCAAACTCCCTGGCCTCCAGGACTGTAGGAAATAAATTTCTGTTGTTTCAATCACCCAGGCAGTCGATGGTGTTCTGTTATAATACCCTGAAATGACTAAGATAATATCTAACATTTGCTAACCACTTGTGCACCAGTACTTTTCAGGTGCCTGTTCATTGTACCATCAGAATAACTTTACAAGGTCGTCAT